AATGAATGAATTAAAGATAATTAATGAGATGAGAGAGAATGAATTCTTAATTAATATCAGAATTTTAATCTCAATGTATAAATATTAATTAAAGAGAAAAATATTATTTTGTCATGTTAAGTTTAATCTCAACCATTAAAAGTAGAGTAATCTAATGGCCCAAAAATTGTGTCAAAACTTGTGTCAAAAATATGGTGCCACGGATCCGCCCCCATATATATATATATCAACATCCGAAAAATAGTTTATAAAGAAAAACACCAAAAATTGATTTGAGAGTTCATATTATTACGTTCTTATTCCTTAAAAAATAGTTCAATATTGTAATTGGGTTGGGCCTTGTTGAAAATGGCGACCCAAAGGCTGAGGTACAATGCGCTGTCCGCCGAGTTTTAAGTTGGGCTTGAGAGGAAAGTTGGGCATCACACGTGGCAACTATTGATTGGTGAGTGGGGCGTGGAGGCGGCAGTGGGGCTCCGTCTCTGAAGTCGCAGGAGCAGAGAGAGAAAGAGGAGCAGTGGAGATGCGAAATGGTGTGTAGCTTTGAGAGTTGACGCGGAGGCAGAAAATGAAGAAGAAGTGGTGTAAAATGAAATGGGTTGGTCTTCTGTTCCTGTGCTGCTTATCAGCGTCTCTGCAATTTTGTATTGTTTCTTCAACTTCATCTCCTCAGCCTTTGCTAACAAATCAGGTATCTTTATTAGTTTAAATTTTTTCTTGCCTTTCTGTTGTTTGTTAAACAAGAACTCAGCAACCCAACCTGCATCTCTACCAATTCTTTAATGGGTAAATTTCATTGATTTGCATAGCTTTGCCAGAGCTCATCTCTTCAGAGAATTTATTTAATATGACCCTTTTCATTGTTTTTTCTTAGGGTCATCAAGAATCTGCAACCTCAAGGTACTATATAGTTAAATGTCGAAACTTGAAACTACGTGGGCATGTATGATTAGGCTAGTCATTTTAATTAAATTTCTCAGCATCAGCCAGTTCTTTGGATATGGGCAATTTGTTTATGGGAATTGATTTCGCCTTCATATTTCTCAAGATTATACACCTGCAAATCTTAGCACAAGTTGTTGCATTTCAGTGTTGCATATCATTGTGCTCTTCTTGAAATTTTAGGGCTGTGTCTATTACTAACACCAGAATTTGATGTATAGAACTTTGAAGCAAGAGCTGGGAGATCCACCTGAGGTACATTGTTCTAGAGAAAGGAGTAGGGCAGCATGGAAAATAATTCAGGAGGTATGGAAGAAAATCGTACAGAGACTCTTCTATTACTACATCTTTATAGCGGTTTCACTCATATCAATATCATTATCTCTCTTATTTGGTGCAGTACTTGATGCCCTTTGTAGAGAAAGAGCGGTATCAGATTCCAAAAACATGTAAGCTACACCCTAGCAATGACCTGTACAGAGATCAGGAAGAGCACAAAAGCCTTGTAGAATTAAACGATTGGCAATGTGGATATTGTAAGAAAAGATTTTATGACGAGAAATTTCTTGATAAGCATTTTGACAACAGGCACTACAATTTGCTGAATGTGGTAAGTGCCCTTTCATTTATGTTCTTATTTTCTTTTCCTAGCAGTGATGCTTATTTCAGCAACTGACGAGGGACAAATAGTTGTATTAGGAAGTCATTTTTTTCTTCACGGTATTAACTACATTAGCTTTCATTGACTGGGAAACAAGGGAAAGAGCAAGACCATAGGCTACACTGAATGTATCTTAGGTTCATTATTCCATTGGTCCAAAAGATACAAATCATTGGTCAAAGTCTAAACGTATTTCACCTGATGCTTCAACCTGTACAAATGAGCTCATTTCCTAACCTTATTCTATTAAGCTAATTTTCTACTATTTTTGGTTCATTTGATCTCCACTTGAACTTTGGCGACCATGGCCTTTCCGTTTGTTTAGCCTCAACGGGGCATTTCTAATTGACTCATGGCATACCTCTGCTGAATCAGAGTCATAGCTGGTGCTTGGCAAATGTTTGTGGTGCATTGCATTGTGACCTCGCAATGGATTCTGTACCACACAAAAAGACTAAGTGCAATCCTGCTGCTGCTGCGCGGAACAAACATCTGTGTGAGGTCGCATCTGAATGATGTCTTGTGCATTTAAATTGCAGCATTCTTTTTATTCATAAATTGTCCATGATGTGCAGGGTCTAGCTGATAGTTGTTTTCCAGTCAGTAATGGTCCTTCAGCAAGCCGTCTTCATGGTAATTTTATATATTTCTTTAAGATAACTAAAAAATTTGTTCAAGTTATCTAAGTTTATCGGTGTATGATGTAGCTTTCTTAATGATTGCTATGGCAGAGTTCTTCTTGCGTCAATTCTGTGATGCCCACACTTGCACTGGAGGTCGAAAACCTTTCTCTCGAGGCCGCAGGAAGGTAAAGTTCACCATCACCTGTCCTTGGGCTGTTTATATGCTTACATAAACCCGTTCTAATTTATTATTCCATAAAACCAAAACCTATTCGGATGTTTTTTCGGTTATGCGCTTATACTTCTCTTCATTGAGTGTCTCCTTTATGTGGCAAATGCGCAGAAGAGGAGTAGTATATCCTACCTTGTTATTTCCATTCTGACTATGCTGCTGCTGCTGCTTTTCTATTCTTACATTTACATGTATACAAGGTATCTACATTAAACTTCCTCATTTGCCGAATTTTGGCGACTTTTCTGTAGATTTCTCAATATTAATTTATGTGACAGGGGAGTGAAAAGAGGAACTCAAGAACTGAAGCGTGTCACACAAAGTGGAAGGAAGAAAAAGCCCATTTAGTTACAAGTTTTTCATAGAAAAGCAACATAGACAGAGAAAGAGAGAGTATGCATTCCATCATAGTCACGAAAGGAAAAAGCTGTGTTGTTCCATTCTTTTTGTAATTTGAATTTTAACCATTATTCCAGTGTAGAGGAAGAACAAATTTTTGTTTTTTGGAATGTGAATGACTAAAATTTGTGAATTAATGAAGATTTAGTCAAACACCTCGTTTTGAAGCTGCTGTGTGGATGTTTTCCTTTCTGCGATTACCGTTGTTTGGTCAAATTTCTGCAATTACCTTTTAAATAGCTGAGTTCAGAACTACATCATTACGCCCTTATTATTACTCTTCATTTATCTGCATAAAAGTTTCCTAGACGTTGGTCTTACCAGCTACAATTTATGATAGAAAGCTCATTTAAAAGAACTAAGAAAATTATGTGGAGTCGGAAATTAGATATTGCGAGTGCATATTGATCTTTTTCCTTTGGTTTGTTTTTTTGGGGGTGTGTTGTTGGGTTTATGGCTGTAATTATAAATCGTTTAGTATAAGCCATGATTAATACTTTCCAGATTAAAAGAAAAAAATTCAATCAGCACAAGGATTGGATGTATAGCCGACCAACTGGTTTACATGTACGTTACAGTCGCAAGATAAGATAGCTTATGGTGCAAACAAACAACAAATGGCAAAGATGTTGAATTTGGCTCCCTAATCCAGATTAAAAGAAAAAAATTCAATCAGCACAAGGATTGGATGTATAGCCGACCAACTGGTTTAAATGTACGTTACAGTCGCAAGATAAGATAGCTTATGGTGCAAACAAACAACAAATGGCAAAGATGTTGAATTTGGCTCCCTAAGCTTTTGGTCTAAGAAATGAAGATGAAGACTGCAAAGGTTGATTAGCGGACGGTCAAGTGAAATGGAGCAATGCCTGAATCACTCATTTTCTTCTAGGCGGATCCCGCCTGAGTCCATACTTGTTGAGTGTTTTGATGTAATTTCTCATGAGGCTGAATTTGTTGCTGCCCAGATGATATAAGTAATCCCACGAATAGATGCCGGTGTTATGCAAGTCATCGAAGACAATCCTGAAACATCCACTCCACACAGTCCACAATCACAACATTGACACTTTGGATAAACAAATTTTTTGTAATGGTGATTACAATTCAGAGTTTCTTAGTACCTTACCCCATAGTTTCCTACAGGTTCTGCAGACATAATCCCAACGTGACGCCGTCCAGATATCACCTGTGTCGATTGATAGATGAGTGGAAACCAAGTTTCTGAAAATATTTGTGGAAAAAGAGAACAGAACGCAGAAGCGTGAAGACACATTCAATTGAAGAAGAATGGTCAACAAACCATATGGAGCTGCTAAAAAAACACAGAAAACATCTTTCTTTTGCAAATATAAAGATTTGACAAAGTGATCACAACACTTTTCACATTCTATTTCTTTTCTCAACGTTTATGATAACAAGGGTTTATGATATCTTTTCATCTCATGCATAACCTTGGATTGCCTTCTATACATTCAAAATTATTTCAACAACTATTTCATAAACCAAGTGAAAAATGATATTATATACATATATATTTATAAAATAACAAAAAGATTGAATTTACCTTTTCACCAGCAATTGACCTAACCTTGGCATCAACAGCTGGACTGTGTATTCTTAAGAATTCAGCTGACAAATTGAACACACTACCATTTCCAAACTCTACCTCTACCTGAAATAAACCACAGATTCAAAAAAAAAAAAAAAACACTGCTTTCAGAACACCAACAATATCAAGCCTCCCTGACTAGAGCTAGAGCTAGATACGTATAGTTCAAACCCAACTAGGAAGTCACAACAGAGCTTGGAGCTCAAAGCTTAAAAAAGCTTACACATCCAGGCGCATGGAGAGACAATCTGGTGAGCCTTGGAGCATTCACGGTAGCGTGGAACCTCCGGATCGCTCTCTGTATCGCTGACATGCTCCTCTTCCTTCTGAATTGATCCTGATCTGGTGTGTGCTGTTCCTCCAGTTTGCTCCCTCTCACGCCCAAATTTGGTGTTTGGTCTAGGCTCTCTCTCTGTCTGGGCCTAACAGCGTTATGGGCTGCTTGGGCTATGATACATTGGTAATAGACTTTTAAAAAATTGGTCTTTTTTTTTCTCTGTGGTTAAGGAAAAGTCCTGGGTTCGAGTCCTAGCATCCATGTAATGTGTGTGAGTTTAGTATGTTATTTATCACCCCTTTCAATAGAAAATGTCCTCAAAAAACAAAATTTGTTAGAGATCAACTGACCATGTCAATGAACTTACTCCTTAGCATCCAAGTTCAATTCCCTTTCTTTGTTAATTAATCTGATTAATTAGATTCCAAGGAATCATAAGGGGGTTTATGAAAAAAGAATCATACAAGTGCCAAACATTTAGTTACAAACTTAGCTTTCCACTTACTATTCTTTTTCAATCTAGTGGAGTTAAGGGAATTTTTTTTTCTTTAGAGAGAGAGAGAGAGAGAGAGAGAAGTAGCTATTTAAGATACAAAAAGACACCACCTAGCTAGATGGGAAAACACACCTAAGCCAGAAACAAGGATAAATAACTTGATCAGCCGCTACCAACATACATATATTATACATAGAATTGATGACGATGATATATAAATATATAGAAGCATGACGCACACCATATACCTGGACCATCATCTTATAATCGAAAGCCCTAACAACCAACTTTATGCTAATTTATATGGTCAACCAAGAAACTCAACTAGCATTTTCCCCAACTTACTAGTACTAAACTACATATGAGTATACATTTATTCCCCAATAGCGCCAAAGTCACAAATTCGTATCCTTTCACTGATGCGACAGAATTTCACTTATTTATACACGGGTTTATTTTAAACAACATTTATTTAATTCATAATCAATAAACAACTGTTATATTATGCGTCGCCTTGATATAACTTGAACAAATTTGAGTGATGAACGCTGGATAGCAAGGTTGTGAGAAAATATTCTTTTGTTGGAAGGTACAAAGGTACAGTGATCGTGGGATTCCATGTTGGATCCATTGTGCAATTTGTTTTGGCATGATGCATGCACGTAATTAAGCAAAAGTACCGTAAAGCCTGCCTATATCTAGCTGAGCTTGAGAGCTACTCCACTTAATTTTCAGTGCTTAGCACGACCTTAACCAATTACCTTGCTCCACATTCATATATATTTATTTAATCCTCCGTACAATTAGTCCAATCCAAATTAACCCATCAAGATGAAAAAAGGATTCAATCTCAGTAGATATTCATAATAACCAAACACTTTTTAAGGTTTGTTTTGCAAAAACAAAAGATGTAAAACTTGGGAAACACTCATGGATGAAAGAGTTTTGTGAGGCCCTCTGGTCTGGTCCGATGTTATATAGCTGATGAGTCTCCTTGATAGTTGAGTGAAAGAATTGGAGAAATTACAAATGATAAACACGCATGATTAAATTAACATCAGATGACACTAAGAAAGATTAAACACAAGACAAGACAAGAATTTGTGAAAGAAGAGGAAGGCCTGCAACTTAATTTCATATTTGAATGCAACAGTAGTAGTCAATCAAAATCAAATTCATCTTCTCGTCTGATTTAACTCAAAGGCACTTAATAATCTTCAATGAATGGAAATTTTTAAAAGAAGAAAAGGTCTTGTTCCAGATTATTGAAGCCATCCCATGAGAGCATTGAATCCACACTGTCCACCCATTTCTGCAGAGAGTGTTCTTGAATTGATTCGCCTATCGAAATCGAAGGGTTGTTAGACTCTTCCACAGAGAATGAAGAAGTGCTATATGAATTCGAAGTGCTGGTGTTGTTGGTATTGGTTCCTTGGTTCAGCAGGAATGTTCCCAAATCCAAGCTTCCACAAAACATTTCGTAATTTTTCAAAAGATCGTTCGTCTCATCGAAACCTGCTAACTCTGGTACATTTTGCAATTTGTCATTGAATTCTGGAAACCCTTTATTGCCATTACCATCCTGCTGTAGCTTAGCCTCCAAGCCACTGTCTTGTGACTCTTCTTGTCCTTGTGATATTGATGAGCTTGAATCTTCTCGAGTAATTGTCTGTTTATTTTCTTCAATGTTTTCTTTCTGCTCAATGGGTTTGTGAGTCAAAGGGTCTACACCAAGGTGCTTTAACCTCTTCTTGATTCTGGTATTCCAATGGTTCTTGATTTCATTATCTGTGCGACCAGGAAAATGGGAAGCAATCTTAGACCACCTGCACAACCAATTTAAGAACCAGCTCTACCAGTTAGCTTGACATGACATTTGTTTATCTATCTTGGTTGGTTAGTTTTAAAAACAAGACAAATTGTACCTGTTGCCAAGACATGTATGGAGTTGAATGATTTGATTCTCTTCTGTTTCTGTAAAAGCACCTCTTTTGAGGTCTGGCCTTAAATAATTGATCCATCTTAATCTGCAGCTTTTCCCACATCTAAGCAATCCTGCATAACCATACAAACAGAGGTTGGACTCTGAGAGACAAATAGAGAGAGAGATGTAAGGGGGAAGAAGCGTGATCAAGATCAAAATGTCGAAACGGTACCTGCAAGCTTAGGAACCATTCGCCAGCAATGGATACCATTGTTGAGAATAAAGTTCATGAGTTTGTGATCTTCCTCAATTGTCCATGGACCTCGTTTCAATCCGACCTTATCACAACAAGGTTGTCTTCCCATTTTTGGCAAACTCTGCCTCAGCAACAACAAAAAAAGGTGAGAAAGCTACCTTAGCCCTTAATTCCTAAGTGGACAATAAAGTTGGAGCGCTAGCTTAAAAAGGAACTTATAATCCAAGCAAAGATGCTGCCAGTTCATTCAGGCATTATAAAATGAGAATGTTGTTTGAGAGGGGAGATAAATGATTGAATGGAAAAGCAGTCAGTGTATAGATATAAAAGCATGGAAGGTTGCCATTATAATAAAAATGGCACCACCCCAAACTGAGCCAATGGAGAACAAGTCCTCTTTCTCTTTGTGAGAGAAATTTTTACAGAGGAAAAGGAAAACCAGACGTGGGTCGCCTTCATTGAAAAATGTTTGTTTTTTGGCAAGCTTAGCCTCTCTCATTGGCTTTTAATCTATGTAAGCCAAAAGAATAATGAATTTGAAAGGTTCCTTGTTCCCTGAGTCTGCCCACTTTTGTCGTTAAAAACAACTCCTTTTGAGTCTTTTAGAGAGAGAAAGAGAGATGCTTTCACCATTATATGAAAGTTCCCTCAAATTCCAAGCATGGATTCACTTGAGAGTTAACTTCTCAGTCACTTGATTATCATCAAGGTTTCAACCTTTTACATGTTTTTATCAATGCGGCTAAACGAAGAGTAAATTCAGCTGCATTACTGAATTACCCAAATTGTCAAATTGCCCTGTCTGTAAAAAAATAAAAAACCAAGAATTGGACCCATGCAAGAATTAGCATTGTTTAGCAAGCAAAATCATGCATAGACGGTTGCAGCTCTGTGAGTCTAAATCCACAGTGCTTTGCATGCTGCAAATCACTAATTGGCTTCTGAGGAATGATACCTCTTTTCTTTCTTTTTACCTTTTTTTTTTCTGGAGAAGCATTGATACTAGCAAATTATAAGTATAAAAAAGGGAAAAAAAGATGGAACAAATTGAGAAAAAGTAGGAAAAACACAATGGGGTAACCAACAATCTACATGATGCCTGATAAGGGGGACAGCGGGGTCACTTGTGTTATATGATTTGAGTACAGAGAGAGTAACAGAGCCTACCAATATGATGTCCTCTCCTCTGTGGTGCTTATACACAATTTCTCTCTCTCTCTCTCTCTCTCTCTCTCTCTCTCTCTCTCTCTCTCTCTCTCTCTCTCTCTCTCTCTCTCTCTCTCTCTCTCTCTCTCTCTCTCTCTCTCTCTCTCTCTCTCTCTCTCTCTCTCTCTCTCTCTCTCTCTCTCTCTCTCTCTCTCTCTCTCTCTCTCTCTCTCTCTCTCTCTCTCTCTCTCTCTCTCTCTCTCTCTCTCTCTCTCTCTCTCTCTCTCTCTCTCTCTCTCTCTCTCTCTCTCTCTCTCTCTCTCTCTCTCTCTCTCTCTCTCTCTCTCTCTCTCTCTCTCTCTCTCTCTCTCTCTCTCTCTCTCTCTCTCTCTCTCTCTCTCTCTCTCTCTCTCTCTCTCTCTCTCTCTCTCTCTCTCTCTCTCTCTCTCTCTCTCTCTCTCTCTCTCTCTCTCTCTCTCTCTCTCTCTCTCTCTCTCTCTCTCTCTCTCTCTCTCTCTCTCTCTCTCTCTCTCTCTCTCTCTCTCTCTCTCTCTCTCTCTCTCTCTCTCTCTCTCTCTCTCTCTTAAGGCAAGCAGGCATTTGACTTAGAAGATGTCTCTGTACATGCAAAAGTATGAACTTACAACAATATAATGCTGCGATTGGATTGATTAAAAGTGGAATAATTCAACTTCCAGTTGACATCCATACAATCCCTAAGCATATAAAATAATTAAGTAGGGTGTTTAATTGGGTTCATGCACAAGAATATTCCCCATGATCTTTTTGGGATGCAGAGTCATCAGAAACACAAACATTTTGGGGCCAACGTCGGCGTTGTGGAAAACATTATCTTCAGTCCTTGATGTTCCAAAGATGACCCTTCTTGATTGTCAAAGATTATATTGCTTCTAAATTGCCAAATAATACCAGGGCTGGCTGCTTACCCCCCAACAAAAATAAAAAGAGCACAGATTCGCATCCTTTATTTGAAATTGAATGTTGGTACACAACATGGTTATCATGTTTGGAAGGCCCTAGGCTTAGAGAGGTAGATGCAAATTTGAACCTCCTCAATTGTCACCTCCCTAAACCCTAAACATGATTTGAATTGTATGCTTCATCTCACCACAACCATGTGATTTGAATTGTCACCTCCCTAAGGCCCTAGACCAATCTCAATCCATGACATCATTGTTGGTAAAACAAGTCAAGAACAAAGATCTAGTAGCTGGTGACAAAACTGACGTCCAGTTGGAAAGCATCATTTAGTAGCAACCAGCCACGCTGCATATTCTTAGAAGAAATGTAGCGTTAAGTTGTCACTAACACATACCAACTAGGCTGATCAACAACAAAAAGAAAAATAAAGTTTTAAACTTGGATGCCTTTGAGTTTTGATTCAGACAGAAAGATGAAAACAAGTTTTATGTTTTAATTAGTAAGTAAACTAGAGATTTAATTAACCAATGGTCAAGTTGGGGGGTGATGGGATTAATGTTGGGGGGGAAGACTAAAAAGGTATCTTTGAATCCCGAGATGGGAAGATAAGAATGACGAATAATTGTCGTGCATACAATACAAATACAACCGAGCTCTAAGATGATACTTGTTTTGTTTGTACAGAAAATGCACCTGCAAGCAGACAAAATAATCACCTAAGACAACTGCGTATGCATAATCATGAGTTTGGTCTCTTGAGGCTTTAGCATCTTTAGGCACAACTAGCGTCGCTCTCACCATTTTTATTCACAGTCACTACCACTCGTGCAACATCCTTAGTCTTTACAATGGCTGTCAAATACCAGAGACTATTTGACACCATTACTGAATGTTACTAATCTATATGTTGTATAAATAAAATACTTGTTGTGATATGAGTAGATTTGTTACATCACCTATCTCTTTTTTTTTGGTCGAAATCATTCATGTTCATTCAAAACCCATAAATGGGAAGGAAACAAACAGAGAATACAAAAGCCAAAAAGGTCAGCTAAAAGTGTTGTTGGTTTTGATTCTCGCATAATCATAAAATGATTCTTGCATAATCATTAAACTCAGCGCCTCTTCAAAATTGATTCTTGCATAATCAAAAAATGATTATTGCATAATTATTAAACTGAGCGCATATTCGAAACTAATTTCCGCATAATCAGAAAATGAAAAGAAAATGATTATTGCATAATTATTAAACTGAGCGCATATTCGAAACTAATTCCCGCATAATCAGAAAATGAAAGCACCTAATTAGCTACTTGCCCTTATAGCTTTCTTTTCTCATAGTTTACCAAACAGGTTGGGCTTCTCAATTTTTTTGAAAAATCACTTATCACCCCAAAAAAGCAATGCCAAACAGACAATTAGTAGAATCTTTTCAAAATATGGGCTGGCTTATATGGCTCAAGTTTGAACTTTTTTGTTAGGCCATCTCCATAGTAGAAACATATTTGGATTTCTAATCGGTATAGGCCCTCTTGTCTTGGGTTCTAAATTTGAGAAAACCAACGCCCGAGTAGTAGTACCTTGCCCACCCAGCAAACTTTGGGTTGGGCCAAAATTAGGTGAAGTTGGCCTTCCTAATTTGCATGAAAATATACACGACGTCGTATGGTCGTATAATATTATTAATAATGACCTACCCTCTTCAAGTGCGCGCCACCTGTTTTGATAAACTTCTATCTTCTTTTTTTTTTTATAATCAAGATAAACTTGTATGTTGGAGAATATGAACTTTCCCTTTTTCTTTTTTCTTTTTATTTTTTTATTTTCCTTAATGTATATATTTTTTCTTATGCTACAGAAGCCTACAGCCAGAGCCGATCCCTTGTTCCCCGCAATACTCTCATATTCACAACCGCAGCTCTAAGTGACGTGCAAAGTTAGTGGATCCCATCCCACACTCCCATAATAAATCATTCACATAATTCTTCCTTTAGGAGCGAAGGTCCCATCGGCGGCTCCACCCTCACTTGGTTGTGAAAATTCTTATACAAGTCATATGCTCCGACCGCCTCTTTCTATATAATTTTTTACAGCGAGTTTCTGAGGGAGGGTGAGACACGAATCATCATGAAAATTTTAAATCTTAAAATAGATTAGCATAAAATTATATTTCTTTTTAGTCAAACTTCATTAAAGGAATTCTATCAGAAAAAAAAAAAAAA